CTAATGATCCCTTGAGTGGGATAGAAAGGATTTTCGGGAAACATGATTACAGAAAGCTTGTAAACTCATCTTCAGCCTATAACTGACTGGAATACCTAAAGGGGTTCTAGAACTTGCCCAGTGAAATAGGCTTCTTGCGGAGTCTTTGTAGTGTATAGGACCTTAGGTAGAATCCTGAGTCCCATCCAGAACCTTCTGAGGCAGGCCATTCCCACTTGAAAGGACAAGCAGACCAGCCTGGAGCAGCGAGAGGAACAGAAGATACTTCATGAAAGAAAGACCAGCAGGAAAAGACAAAAACTGTGGTCAATTTGACTACTACAAGAACAAGCAAGCTGTTCACCTGGGGAGCCATCAAAGCAAACAATCAACTCCCTTCAGGATAAACCCCATTCCAAGCTTGTGAGCTTGCTGGCAACTGCACTGGTCTACTTGTGAGTGGAAGTAGGGGAAAGGCAGTAATGAAGACATGGGCTGAGTTCAATCATGTTCCATAGATTCCTGTCAACCTTGAGATGATAGAGAAAAGAGGAAGTGGGTCCAAAGTGTGGGGAGACTTGGGGACTCCTGCGCTAATGGACACTAACCTAGCCACAGTGAGCTACAGCTGAGAATGAAGCATCCAGTTGATATGAAGTGGGGGGAAACGCGCAACAATGCCCAAACTTGCAAATAGTACCCATTTGACCTAACTCGGATGGCTTCATGACCAGAACTCCAATAGAGGAAGATAAAGACATTTGACAAAGGAAGCATGCGTAAATTGCTACAATTTGATGGACCTATACTTATGTAGTAGTTCAAAATTATCAAATGAGAAGGAAAGTTTTCAAATATCAAGCCTATCGCTTCTGTACACAGAGTTGATAGGGACGGGCGGCAACTTAGACGTTATCTACTTAAAATGGGAGGGTGGCTATATAGACACGAAGTGTCTGGCTTACAAGTTTTCAAGAGGGAGTTTAGTTTCAGAGAGTGTAGGGGAAGATAGAGTTCCCATTGAATAGTTTTCATCTTGTCTAGATGGGTCTGGTGAAAGAAGATGGGATAAGATTCTTTTGATTCAACAGTGAGTAATTATTATCATGACTAATTGCAACTGCCACCACTGTAGAGGCAGAGGTTGTGTAACAAAAAGGGGGGAGTAGTTAATCTTACATTCTAGGAACAGAGGACCCTAGGACCATCAAGAGAACGTGGAACCCTATCCAGAGAAGCAATGACACTAGAGATGGAGGAAGAGGTGATGGCAGGGAGAGATAAAGCAGCTGAGGACTCATAGAAAGAGGAAGACTGTGTACTGATGACCAGGAGGCAGGCTTGCACAATGTGCTCTTTGGTTGTTTAAACGATTATATATTCCTGAGTGTTTTTGTGTACATGAAAAACAAACAACGAGGGAATAGAAGCAAATACTGGTAATCAATAATGCATGGAGGGGATTGTAATTATTCCAATGAAACAAAATACGATTGGTTGAGTGGAAAATTGATGTTCTCCCATGTAAACTATCACTTAATTCACAACAAAAGCTTTAGAACGAAACAAAACAGAATCTTAATAAGAGTGCCCTCTAGTGGTTCTAATAAGAAGATATTAATTCTGACTCAGTGAGGAGCTGCCCTATTGGGTTCCCAAGGTTGTGAGTTTTTGGGGAGGCAGGTTGTTATCTTGCCCCTGTGGAAGCAACTGGTGGGTGTAAGCCTTGGTCTTTCAACGCAGTCAGACACTTGGGTTCTGCACCAACAGGGTGTGCAAATCAGAAAATGCTCCCACAAAAACAATATAAAATTTAAAGTTAAAGAAAAAAAAAAAAAAGATAAAATAGTTATTGTAGTTGTTAAGTGCATTTAAGTTGGTTCTAACTCATTGTGACCCTGTATAGGCTTTCTGAGGAGAGGCTGGTTGGTTTGAACTGCTGACCTTGTGGTTCACTCTGACCTTGCAGTCCAGCACCACACCAGGACTCCAATAAAAATAGCAAAGCACTGAAAATCATAAAGAAGAAGGGCCAATCCAAACTATGAAGGGAAATTTCTCCCCTTCATATTTTAACGAAATAATTGAAAACTTTCAGAGGATGTTTAAAGAAAGCAAAAACACACAGAAAATAAAAGAGAGCAGGAAACAAATAAAGGCACAAGGAAACTGAAAATATTTAAAAACAAACAAAAATCAACCCCCCAATAAACACAAAACCAAAAGAGTATTACTGGAACTAAAGGATAAAGCAACTGAATTAGAAAAAGCAAGAGAAACAACAGAGTAGCACAGATAGACTAACTGAACGTAAGTCTCAAGAGAAGACACAAAAAAAAGGATCAGAGAAAAGCAAACAAATCCAAATGGAAACATGGGATTCAATGAAGAACTCTAACAGATTTATTGGAATCCCAGAGCACAATGACAACAAAAAGGCATACAAAGATTTTCCCATCATGACAATGCACCTGCTCAATCCTCAAAGGTTGCCTAAGAGAATATTTCTTTGAAAAACTTTACCCCATCCAACCCTATAACCCTGATCTTTCCCCTTAAGACTTTCAATCCAAAAACTCAAAGGACATTTAAAAGGAAACCAATTTGAGTTCCCTGAGGAGGCCAATACTGTTGGTTTTGATGTGGTATCAATAGGAGGGTACAGAATTCTTTGGGGGAAGAGTTAGACAGATAGAAACACTGCCTTCAGAAGTATAGATTTGGATAGAGGATATATCCAGAAAACAAGAGCTTTACATACAAAGGCTTCCATGATTTTGTAGCCAATACTTTTGGATTTACTCTTATATGTAATGAAAATAAGTGCTAACTAAGAATTTGTTATGCAACAAAGTTGTCATTAAAAACCAACGGGGAAATCAAGACATTCTCAAACAAATAGAAGCTCTGGGTTTTGCCACTACCAGACCATCTTCACAACTACTACTCAAGGCATAAGTACTCCAGGTAGAAAGGCAAGAGCATTAAATAACGGCTGTTAAGTGCTGTCGAGTTGGTACTGAGCCCTAGTGACCCCGTACAGGGCTTCCCAGGAGCCGTTGGTGGGTTTGGATTGCTGACCATGTGGTTTGCAGTCCAGTGCTGAACCTACAGCCTCACACTAGGAGTCCACTGAAGAAATACTCTATATCTTGTTGTTGTTAGGTCTCAACTCATAGTGACCCTGTCCACAATAGAACGAAACATTGCCCAGTCCTGCACCATCTTCACAGTTGTTGGGACGTTTCAGTCCATTGCTACTGCCAACCTGTCAATCCATCTTGTTGAGGGTCATGCAAGGGGAAATATGTCTCTGTGATCAGTGTATGGCTGCAGACAAATCTAAATTAAAGAGAGAGAGGTCTCCAAAAAATAATCAACCTGGGCAATGATAAGGACCAAGTGTATGATGCTTAAGGGAATACACTCAATAATGAAATCTTGCAAGCAATCCAACATTTGTAAGAAATAATCACAAAGTAAACTTATTGAATACAGATTGAACATTGATGTTAATGGAAACACACCAAAATAAATGGGGAGGGATGAACATATCTGGAACAGAATTCTTGTGTTACGGTTCATATGTTAAATGTTGCAATTTTAAGTTGCATAATATACGTTGTTGGTGTTAAGTGCTGTCGAGTCGGTTCCGACACATAGCAACCCTGTCTAGGGTTTCCAAGGAGTGACTGGTGAACTTGAACCGCCAACTTTGAGACTCAAATGACTTTGCAGTTCAGTGCATTAACCCACAGCGTCACATCAGGACCCCATGATACATGTTGTAACCACTAAGAAATCACCTAGGAAAAATCTTTAGAAGAAGGAAGAAAGCAAAAAGGCTCATTACAAGAAAGCAGCCCAAATACAAACAAAATCAGAAAAATCAAAATAAAAAAGATACAAAACATTGAAAAAACAAACAGCAAAATGAATGAGGTAGACATTTGGTTTTCAGTAATAACCTTAAATGTCAATGGTTTAAACATTTCATGCAAAAGGCAGAGTATGGCAGCTGAATTAAAAAAACAACCAAAAACGATCCATCCTTTTCCTCTTTACCTTAAACAGAGGGATACAAACAGACTGAAAATAAAAGGATGGAGAAAAATATCCCAAGCAACAAGTAAACAACAAAGAGTAGGCAGGGGTGGCCATAGTGACTGATCAAAGAAGAGACTTTCATTAATACAGGCTTCCACACAGCCCTGTCAATCACCAGCTGAGGTCAGACATGCCTCTGCCCTCTTTAGCAGCTTCTTTACCAGCACTACCACCAGCCATTCCTTCCACAGCACTCTCCACTCATCAGCTGGGCTCCAAAACTGGTTGCAATGGTCATACTGAGTTATGGGCACTAGACCACAAAGTCAGTTTGAACTGCAAGGTTAGTGGTTCAAACTTTCCAGCCACTCCTCAGAACACTATACAGGGTTGCTATGGGTCAGAAATGACTTGACGGCACTTAGTAACAACATTTTTAAAATAAAGCCAAACCCGTGGCCATTGAGTAGATTTGGACTCATAGCAACCCTACTGTTGTTGTTGCTAACTGCCATTAAGTTGGTTCCAACTCACAGAAACACTGTATAGTTTTCAAGAAGCAGCTGGTGGGTTTGAACCTCCAGCCTTGTGGTTATCAGTCTAGTGCTTATCCTACACCAGGACTCCAAAGGACAGAGTTTAATGATTCTACAGGGTTTGCAAGGCTGTGCATCTTTATAGGAGCTAACTATTTCATCTGTCTCCCAAGGAATGGCTGGAGGGTTTGTGCTTATCAGTGTGATGCTTAATCCATTGCTCCACCAGAGCACCTATTTATAACAAAGTAGGTTAAAAGTACTTTTATTTGGCAATATCTTGTAAGTCTGATATTTAGTATTTATTTGAAATTCATAATACCATATTATAAAGGTTAGATTTAGAATTCTTACTAAATTTTATGAACTACACAATTAATCTGAAAAAGCAAGGTTTTGCTTCAGCTCACGTAGAAAGAAAACATGTCAGAAACTTACTATCTCCCTTCTACAGGTTCAATGTCAAGGGTATTAACTCCACTGCCATGGATCCTTTCAACATCTCTGTCTTTGTTTAACTCCAGTCCCAAAACCCTTTAGGAAAAATATAAAAATTAAAAGTGCATAAAAGAAGAATAAACTTTAACAAGAAAGAATTTTAACTTAAAAGATTTCCTTATTTCACGAAAATTACAAATAGTATAAGTAATTACAATACTTAAATCTTTTCCCAGATACTTGTAAAGACATTTACATATTTAAAAAATCTAAATATATTATCAAGTAAATGCAAACAATTTCTCCTGATGCATTTTCTTAAATTTTATTTAAAACAAATTTTTAATGAGGTTACTTACTATTAAGAGACAGAAATAAATTTTCATAAATAAAAAGTTAAACTGAAAATGTACAAGTTATCCTTATAGAAGTCTTAAAACTTCATTGATGACACCTAGTGGACAAAAGCTTAAATTACAGATTCTTTTTTTTTAATTTCCCCTGAAGGATCTGTAAATACAAAATGGGTATAGTTCAACTCAACAACCACGCACAATGAAATAAAATAATTTATTTAACAAATGATTAATACATAATCTCACAAACTAGCACCTGAGTAGAATTTCTGATATTTCAAAGCTGTAAACTGTCACTATGGTCAGGCTATTACTAAAATTAAATGAGTTAAGATATGAAAAGTACTCACTATAACCCCTGTTGTTGTTGTTGTTAAGTGCCGTCGAGTCGGTTCCAACCCGTAGCGACCCTGAACAGGGTTTCCGAGGCTGTAAATCTTTACGGGAGCAGAAAGCCTCATCTTTCTCCCGCAGAGCAGCTGGTAGTTTCGAACTGCTGACCTTGCGGTTTGCAGCCCGATTCGTAACGACTACGCTACCAGAGCTCCTTTTATTATAACCCCTAATGTTAATTATGAGATTTTGCCTTAGCCTGTTGGATGTTATTAGAATTTATACTAATTTAACAGGAATAAGAAGTAAGTGGTGCAGATGGTTAAACACTCAACCACTAGTTGAAAGGTTGGCATTTCAAAATACCAAGAGACAGGCCTGAAGTTCTGCTTCTCAAAGCCCTGAAGACCCTATGGATTTGCTCTACTCTGCACACACACTGGCTCACCAGAATTGACTCAACAGCAACAAACAACCAGATATAGTCTAAACATATACCTTTATATGGGAAAGTTCTTACAGAAACGAAATATGAGTATTTTTGGCCTGTCTTGTGGCATTGTGGAATAAAGTTTTGGACTGCATGGATGGTTTGAAGCACAAAGATGGCAGTTCAAACTCACCAGCTGCTCCTTGGAAACCATATACAGTTAAGTGTTAAAGAGTCAGAATGACTTGGTGGCACTTAATAACAACAATGATCAAATAGAACACTTTCTTATGGACTGTTGTTGTTAGGTGCCATCGAGTCAGTACCGCTGCACAGCGAGCATATGCACAACCGAAAGCATTGCCCAGTCCAGCGTCATCCTCACCACCATTGTTACACGTGAGCCCAATGCTGCTGCCAATGTTCCCACCATCTCATTGGGGATTTTCCTCTTTTTCACTGACCCTCCAATTTACCAAGCACAATGTCCTTCTCCACGGACTGTTTCCTATAGATAGTATGTCCAAAGTATAAGAAATAATGCCTGGCTATACTGGCTTCTAAGGAGCATTCTGGTTGTACTTCTTCCAACACAGATTTGTTTGTTCTTTGATGGTCCATGGTACTTTTAATAATCTCCTCCAATACCATAACTCATATGCATCACCAGAATTAATGATACAGACAGTAGCAGTACAAACAAAGTCTTTGGAAATCATCTTAGCATTATCCAGAGTTTATAACTACCGTCTTCAGTAAGGATTGCCCTCAATGCAAAGAAAACAAAAATTCTCACCACTGGACCAATAAACAACATCATGACAAATGGAGAAAAGACTGAAGTTTTCCAAGACTTCATTTTGGTTGGATCCACTATCATGGATTCAATACTCATGGAGCTGCTTTCAGGAAATAAAAGGATGTAGGTAGCATAGTGGTTACGAATCGGGCTACGAACAGCAAAGTCAGCAGTTTGAAACTACCAGCTGTTCTGCAGGAGAAAGAGGAGGCTTTCTGCTCCCGTAAAGATTTATAGGCTCAGAAACCCTGTACAGGGTCGCTATGATTAAGAACCAAATCCACGGCACATAACCACCACCAGCATTGCATTAGGAAAATCTGTTGCACAAGACCTCTTTAAAGTATTCACGAGAATATATGTCAGTTTGAGGACTAAGGTGTGCCTGACCCAATCCATGGTATTTTCAATAGCCTCATAAGCATGTGAAAGTTGCACATGAATAAGAAAGACCGTGCAAGAATTGATGCATTTGAGTTATGGTGCTGGAGAAGAAGACTGAAAGTACTATGGACTTCCAGAACAACAAACACATCTGTGTTGAAGTATAGCCAGAATGTTTCTTAGAAAGCTGAGATTGGCGAGACTTAGGCTCTTGTACTTTGTATATGTTGTCAAGAGGGATCAGTCACTGGAGAAGGAATTTATGTGTAATAAAGCGGAAGGTCAGTAAAAAATAGAGGAAAACTCCGAAGAGATAGATTGACACAGTGGCAGGAATAATGGACTCAAACATAAGAACAATTCTGAGGCTGGTGCAGGACTGAGCATTCTGTTGTACATGTGGTCGCTATAAGTCTGAACGGATTCAATGGTACCTGGTACCTAACAACAATTTAAAGGTATTCATGACCCTTTGTCTTCTGGAAGATGGTTTACTCTTAAGGTCAAAAATCCAATTTAACACTTCTTCATTGTCTAACCTTGATCAATAAATAATAACAACAGCTAATATTAATTAAGAGGCTGTTATTTACTGACACTATGTTGTTGTTAAGTGTCAAGTCAATTTGGACTCATAGTGACCCTGTAAAGGGTTTCCTAGGAGTAGCAGTTGAGCCTGAACTGCCAACTTTGCGGTTCAAATGGACCTTGCAGTCCAGTGCATTAGTTTGCAGCGCCACACCAGGACTGAAATTCTAATAAGTGGTAATAATAAATGTGCTGAGACCCTCGCAGAGTTGCTGCAGTTTTTTGCTTCTACAGTGTTTGAACAGAAGTCAGTGCTCACCAGCTTCCTCACAACTGGTTGCTCCCCGCCAGCTCTCTACCATCTCCTGCCAGCTGAACTCTCTGACACCCCAAGGTTCACTGTGCCGCCACCTTGATGACCACGATCCCCAGCAAGTGCGCCAGAACTGCAACCCAGACCACCAGACCAAAGAGGAACTCTACACTTCCTAATCTGTCCATGTCTTACTACTTTGACCGATGAGGTGGCTTGAAGAATTTTGCAAGTATTTTCTGCACCAATCTCATGAGGGGAGGGAACATGCTGAGAAACTGATAAAGCGACAGAACCAACACAGATTGGTTTGTTCTTCTGGAAGTCCATGGTATGTTTGATACTCTTCTCCAACACCATAACTAAAATGCACCAGTTTTTCTTGTTCACTGTTCAACTTTCACATACTGTCATTCTATCATATACTGTATCACTGCCATGGTTACAATCCCCTCCATACATCACCAACCAACCAAAGGGTAAACCCTGCAAGCCGGCCCCCCGCCCCCAGTCTTCAGCACACAGCTCCTCTCCCTCTCTGGATCTAAAGTCCCCAGCTGCTCCATCGCTCCACATCATCTTCGCTGCCTCCACCTCAGGCATCATTGCTTCTCTGGGTAGGGTCCCGCTCTCCGCTCTTCTCTGTTGATGGTGCTAGGGACCTACGGTCCGAGACTGGAAAGTTAATCACTCCCCTCCTTGCTATAAAACATCTACCTTTACATTTCCAACCCTCACAATCAGTCCTGATAACAATTATTACTCACTATTGTATCATAAGAGACCCATCTGCATTTCATTTCATCAGCCCCGCCTAGACAGATTGAATACTACTCACTAGAGACTCCACCTTCCTCCAGGCCCTCTAGGTCTAGGTTCCCCCTTGAAAGCTTGTAAGCCAGTCACTTCTTGCCTTTGTAGTGCCCCCCCACCCCACCCCCATTTTGGGTAGCCAATGTCCGAGTTGCCTATCTCTGTCTACTCTGTGTGTGGAGGGGGTGGGAATGCTACTTGCTGTAAGGATTTGTTCCCTCTTTTGAGCTACTGCTTCCATAGTTGTAGGTCAAGTTCATCAAATTGTATCAGAATACTTTTTTTTTCCCCTCTTCTTTCTTCTTCTGGTTGAGCTCTGATCATCCAGTCATTGAAGTCAGGTCAAGTGGGTATTATTATCTGCAAGTGTGGGTGTTCTTGTGCATATGACCTCTCTTCCTATCAGCTGGATGCTTCACTCTCCACTCTAGTCCTCTGTGGCTATGTCACTGACTCTGGACCCAAGAGTCCCCAGGTCTTGCCACACTGCTGGCCAACCAGGACTTCACCCGGGTTCACAGAAGTCTATTGAACATTGTAGGGCTTAGCTCGCCACTTCACTGCTGTTTTTCCTTCACTTCCCCTTATCGGTGACGAGCGTAGTCAGCAATCAGAGTGTGTATTCCCATTGACTCTTAATCTTGGAAGAGGGTTTGCACTGAGGGGACCCGACCACTTGCCTTGATGTTTCCTGGGCAAGTAAGTTGCTTGTTCTTGTAGTAACAGTCGGTCCTGCCTATGTTGTTTTGTATTTTTCCTGTAGGTCTTTCTTTCAAGAAGTATCTTCTGTTCTTCTAGCCGCTCCAGATTGATCTGCTCATCCTTTCAAGTGGGAATTTCCCATCTCTGGAGATCTGGATGTGGTTCAGGCTTCTACATATGGTCTTATGTATTGCAGAGGCTCCGCAGGAAGCCTCCTCCACTGGGCACATTATAGCCCCATTTTAGGTATTCCAATCAGTTGTAGGCAGAAGACAGACTTACAAGCTTTCTATGGTGATGTTTCTGACTATTCCTTTCTCTCCCCCTCCAGTGTCTATTTTATAATATAATGTAAGGAAAACCAAAATTCAAGAGATATCCAAGCATCTTAACATTATTCCCCCTTTTTCCCCATTCCAACCATGTCTCAATCTCTGTATCCCAGAGCCCTGGTGTTCCTAGGTTGTGCCTACATCATTCTTTACCTCTGTCCCACTTAGCCCATTCAAACCTCCCTAATTGTTCTCCCATCTGGTTTGTTTTTCCATTCTCCTCTCCATTCTTGTATATTGCCCCCCTTCCCAGCACCCAAACTATCTTGTGTCTAATCCCTGCCGAGGTTGTAAATCTTTACAGGAGCAGAAAGTCTTACTTTTCCCCTGGGGAATAGCTGGTAGTTTCGAACTGCTGACCTTGCGGTTCGCAGCCTGATTCGTAACCACTACACTACCAGAGCTCCTTTTTAAAGTGGTAGGTGGTATTATAAAATGCATTTCCTGCATTTGCTCAAGGTCATATAGTTAAATCATAGTTCAACCTGTATAATTCTTTCTCCAATCACTGAGCTTCCATGTTTTCTTCAGAAAATAACTTCTACAATTTTTTCCATTGAAATTGTTATTTCTTCTTAAAAATAGTTTCCTATTTGATGATTTTTCGAATGACAACAGTAATGTGCACTTCTTGTCACAAATAAAATCCTACCAAACAAAGTTGTATACAGGCAAAGGCAATCAGCGTTTCTTTGGTCAGTTTGAAGGTTAAGGTTGGGGGTTCAGCCACTCCTCAGAAATCAGAACCAACAAGACAGCATGTAGCAAAAACAACAAACAGTGAGAAACAAGACTTTCATTATTGCTGTTACTATTACATGCTGTTGACTTGGTTCCAACTCATAGCGACACCTGTATAGGGCTTCCTGCTTGGTAAAGTAGAAGGCCAGCGAAAAAGAGGAAGACCCCCCAACAAGATGGCACAGTGGCAACAGTAATGGGCCCAAGTGTGGCAAAGATTATGAGGTTGGCACAGGACCGGACAGTGGTTTGCTCTGTGTGCACAGGGTCACTAAGAGTCGAAACTTCCTCAACGATGCCTAGCAACAACAACGTAGGGCTTCTGAGGAGCGGCTGGTGGGTTTGAATCATTTACCTTGTGGTTAGTGTAATTGGAGAGCAACACATCAGAATCTGTTCCTCTATATGTAACCCATCTCCTATTTTCACTGCCATTTCCTCCCCACAAAGTGATACCCCCCTCACATGATTACTACTCCTTTTCAGTTCATACACAGTCCCTTCTTCCACCTAACCTTTAATGCTGATGTCACTGACTAGCTTTTCTTTTCTGGTAGCGTAGTGGTTACGAATCGGGCTGCTAACCTCAAGATCGGCAGTTCGAAACTACCGTTTGTCCCGTGGGAGAAGAGGCTTTCTATTCCCATAAAGATTTGCAGCCTTGGAAACCCTGGGCAGGGTCACCATGAGTTGGAAGAGACTCCATGGTACTTAACAACAACAAGCTTCTTTTTTCAATCTATAAACAGTGCCTGCGTAATCCCATCTCCTTCTCATGGCTTCATGTATCACACTACATTAAAGATGTTTAACTTCCTACTGAGCACCAGTCATATATGCATCTGCTTCCCCCAGTGTCCAAATGAATTATCTTGACAGGTCCTCAAAGTCAATGTGGATAACATTTAAGTTATGTTTCCTCCCAAGATATTTGTTCTGTCTGAGGCAAATCCTATCTTAGAGGATGTCACTAATATATCATATACTGTCCAATCAATTTCCATGGCCAGTTGATCTATTTCTCAAATATTTTTCAAGTTTCTTCATTCCAAATGCCACCTCCTAGGTCCAGAATTCCATCAACTCTCTCCTTTGCAACTACAACAGTTACCTAACTTGGCTTTCAGTCTGTCTCTATTCTTCAAGCAGACAGCAAAATGCAACAGTTGTCATCGTATTTTACACAGCATACTTTTTAGCCAAACACACAAGGTGCTTCTCACCTAGCCAATATCTATCTACTTCAATCTTTTTTCAATAGCTCCTACTCTCCAACTCTCTGCTCTAGTTATCCTGAGTTTATTGAATTCTGTTCAATTCCTGGCCTATGCACTGTCTTTACATAATGTCTTCACACACAGTTCATTAGTAAGTCATCTGAATAAATGAATGAGTTTTAGAGAATAGTTATCTCTTGGAGGATGTAATGAGATGGAGACGGGAAAAAAGCAAAATGAAAAAGTATTTAGATCCACCTGAGCCCATTTGCTCACTCATCCACCTTTTTTGTCAGCTGTCCCACTCACAGCAATTCCATTTATGCAAACTTTGCAGGAGGAAACCGGATGACTACTCCATAGGGTTTCTAAGGCTGTGACCTTTCCAGAGCAGATCGCCAGGCCTCTCTAAGGAGGTGCCTCTGGGTGAGTTCAACTCGCCAACCTCGGCTACTAGTTGCATTATCTAGGGATGCCTCCCATGCACTTACAAGCTGCCAAATTCTACAAGTATCTAAAAGGTATCTATCCTGTTTTCACAAGTCACTGAGTAAAAGTAGAACTCAAAGTGGAGTTTGGTGGGAAGAAAGTGATAACGAGGCGGGAAGGTATGAAGCAATGCTAACACGACCGACTACTTGTCCAGATTCTAGTTAGCCTGTCGGAGAAAGTAAGGGATTCTTTACCTCCGTGTGGACTCCGCTCGCCGGAGATGCAGGGGGTCGTCCAAACCGGCTTGTCGCGCTGACAAAAACCCAAGCATCCCGTCCCTTCACAACGACTTGAGCTCTGGACGCCGCCATGACAGAGCTCGGAGGCGGGGCTGTAATAGCTGAGTATTCCATTGGTCCAGCAGTGAACGATCCGACCAATCGTCAATGCCATTACTTAAGGGCGCGGACATGGAGGCGGGCTAGACCTCCGCAGGCCGGAGTTGGAGGCTAGGGCGGTCCTCGGACTGAGGCGGAGAGTCAGGCTGTGGCTCTGGCCGGGAGCAGAGCGGACAGCATGGGCTGGTCACAGCATCTGTTTCGTTCCTTGAGGCGAGTACTGTCAAAAGAAGTGAAGGATCACGTGGGCACCGATCAATTCGGGAACAAATACTACTGTATACCGGAGTACAAGAATTGGAGAGGTGAGAATTAGGGCAGCAGCTGCGCGGTCACTAAATGAGGGTCATGTGAGAGCTGTTAAACGAGAGCCACTTGTGATATTTAGAATGATACCTGGAGAGAGATCCTCGCCGTCCCCATGACTCTGGATTCCGAGCCTTGCCCCAGCGTGGCTAAGACTCCTCTAGCTGAGTGGCTTCACGCCGCGGCCCGGCTCAGGGGCTCGACGTTGAGAGTCTGCTCACCGTCCCTGCGTCCCAGCGCCTTTCCGGGTTGCGTTGGCACAGCGCACTCCTTTCCCTGCCGTCGCAGCCTTCCATCCACCCAATTTTAGTCCTTGCACTTCGGCATGGCATCGTAGACAAGGACAAATCCTTAGAGATCTTTAACTAAAGGAGGCTCGGGAGGGCAGAGCAGTGAGTTTTTGTGCTCTTGTGCCCCCTTGCGACTGCGAAGTAGGGCTGAGTGGTGTAATCGAAAGGGTGTACTTTCGGTGTCTGTTTCCTCTCCCTTGGTGCCCTCACAGGTCCGTTTGTCACCTTCCTCACAACCAAAGTTTGCTGTCAGATGTCGGTCCAGGCACCGTAAGAGTCCATGTTTTTTCTTTTCCACCAGTTTTCATTCCAAGACTCCTTGGAACTCAGTTAAAAGTACAAGGCACTAAGAGCAATGTTGCTTCGTAGGATTCTTCAAGCATTGTGACGGATTGGTTTGAGTTAGGCCGTATACTTCATTGCAATCACACCATCATAACCTCTTCTGGGTTGAACCATCCCAGTGAAGAAGATCTCCTGCTTTGGATTCAGACAGGCTTGGATTCGAATCTCACCTAGCAGTTGAGATCACGGGCAAAGTATTTCCACCACTCTTCAGTTTTCTTACTTGAAAGTTTTAAGATAACATTATTAAGTGCCGTAAAGATGGTTCCCACTCATAGCGGCTGGTGGGTTTGAACTGTTGACCTTGTAGTTTGCAGTCCAGGGCTGATCCTACGTCACTACCTAAGATCACAATAGCAACAATAATATTAAGAAGTACTAAACCCCTTTCTAAAATTCTGTTCCATTCTCGGTAACTCAAAGGGAACACTCCTTGCTCTTAAGAGCACATATAAACGGTGTCTTCTGATTGATCATTCATTATTTTGCATGTTTTTATTTAACATACTTTAATTTCTTAGACTTATTTCCCCAAGGAGCTTCTATACCCTGACATGACAGGAAATATGTTTGAACTCTTTACATCGCTGAGAGTATTTCATTGTATGTATATATCACAATTTTTACAATTTACTTGTCTATAGATATCTGGGTTGTTTCCCATACTGGGCTATCACAAATAAATTATGAGCATTTATATAATTAGTCTTTGTATAGACATATGTTTTCATTTCTCTTGAATAGATAGGCGTGCAATGCTTGTGTCATATTATAAATGTATGTTTAACTTTTTATGAAACTGATCGAGTTACTGTACCACTTTACATTCTTACCAGCAATGTATAAAAAGTTCGGCTCTTTTACATACTCACCAACACTTAATATGCTCATTTTTTTTTTAATTTTAGCCATTCTAATAGTTGAGGCTAAAACCTGTCCACCATGGATGATCCTGCTGGTATTTAAAATACCCACGCCATAGCTTCCAGAATCCAGCATCACACAAGTCACCACAGTATGACAAACTGATGGACAAGATGTCAGTTTGAGGACTAAGGTGCTCCTGACCCAAGCCATGATATTTTCAGTAACCTCATAAGCATGTGTAAGTTGGGCAGTGAATAAGGAAGACCGTAGAAGAATTGATGCCTTTGAGTTAAGGTTGTGGAGGAGAGTATTCAAAGTACCATGGACTGCCAAAAGAACAAACAGATCTGTGTTGGGAGAAGTGTAGCCACAGTACTCCCTGGAAGCCAGGATGACCAGACTTCGTCTCTCATCCTTCAGACATGTTATCAGGAGGGACCAGTCACTGGAGAAAGATATCATGTTTGGTAAAGTGGAGAGTCAGAGAAAAAGAGGAAGACCCCCCTGCAAGATGGATTGCCATAGTGGCAGCAGCGATGGGCTCAGGCATAGCAAAGATTGTGAGGTTGGGCCAGGACTGGGCAGTGTTTCTTTCTGTTGTACATAGGCTCGCTATGAGTCAGTACCAACTCAGTGGCACCTAACACCAACAATAGTTGAGGCTTTGTGATTCCACAAAGATTTACAGTCATGTTGTTAGGTGCTGTTGAGTCAGTTCTGACCCATAGCAACCCTATGTCATCCTCACAATTGCTGCTACCCTTAAGTCCATTGCTGTTGCCACTGTGCCAATCCGTCTCATTGGGCACCTCCCTCTTTTCGCTGACCCTCTACTTTACCCATCATAATGTTCTTCTCCAGGAACTGGTCCCTCCTGATAATATGTCTGAAGTATGAGAGATGAAGTATGGTATCTTGCCTTCTCAGGGCAGATCATCAGTTTTACATTCAAGTCATTGCAATTATTACAGTCCGCTCCATGCACCATCAGCTAACAATTTTTACTTCCATTAATTAGGTGTGTGTGTGCTTTTTTTAATGTACACATACCACATTGACGATATATATTCATTTAAATGTCCAAAGGGCACATTTTGCAAGCCAGCTTCCTACCCACAGGCACACTGCCTTTCTCAGTTCATGGGCCTGTAGTCCTCTGCTGCTCTGTGTTTCTATGCCATTGCCTCTGCTACCATCTCTGTTGTTGCCGCATTTCTGGTTAGGACCCCTCACTCCTTTCATGTTCTCTCTGGGTGGTACTAGTGCCCTCTGTTACTGAAATGAGAGATCAACTGCTCCCCCTTTTTAGGTACACCTCTTCTACATTTACAGTTGTGACAATCCCCATTAGTTAGTCCTAATAACGGTTACTCACAATTGAATCATATAATCCTATCCCCATCATCACTGGACCTATCTGAACAAGAGGAAAACTATTCAGTGCAGATTCTATTTTACTTCCCTAGTTCTGACACTAATCACCCTGATGAAAGCTTGTAAGCCAGCCACTTCTTGCCTTTATAACACCCCAGTTTTAATAGTAGAAGTCTAAATTGCCTGTCCCTATTAACCCAGTGTACTGAGGAGGAAAGCTTGATCTTTCATATGGAGAATCCTTCCCTTTCAGTTGAAATTTTGGGTAATTTCATACATAATCAAAGGTCCATTTCATCAAGTTGTAGCAATTTACACTTGCTTCCTGTATCAAACTTCTTTATTTTCATGTGATTGAGTTCTGGTCAGCAAGCCATCCAAGCTAGGTCAGATGGGTACTATCTGCCAGTTTGGAAGTTCTCCCCCCACTTCAGATTAGCTGGCCACTTCACTCTTAATTCTAGCCCCCAGTGGTTAGGTCAGTGTCCTTGGGCTCTGGAGTTCCCACTTCTCTGAACTTCCAACCAGCCAGCCCATCCTCTTCTTTTTCTCCTCTCAAGGTCATCAGATGTCTATGGAATGTGGCCAAACTCATCCCAGGTCTTCATTGCTGCATTCCCCCCACTTCTACTCACAAGTTGACCGTGCTGTCACCAGTGAGCTTACAAGACTGCTCTTGTGTTCCCTTTGAGTGTCAGTCTTAGAAAGTGGTTTACCCTGATGGGCTGTCTTTTCTTGCCTTGATGACTCCAAGGCAAACAGCTTGATTTATATTGTTACAGCCAAACAGTCTGCTCTCCCCACTCCCCATCCCCCACAGAAGTATCTTCTGTTCCTCTATCTGTTCTGGGTTGGTCTGCATGCCTTTTCAATTAGGAATGTTTCACCTATGAAGGTTATGGGTGAGGCTCAGGATTCCACCTAAGGCCCTTTACTCCACAAAAGCTTAACAACAAACCTGTTTCCCTGGGCACATTCTGCTTTTGTTGTCAAGTGCCATGG